TGTAACGGAATACAGTTACTCATATTTTGTATTTTAAATACGTAACGGCGGTACATGTATTCCGTTACTCCCCAACACTGATTTTGTGTATGTGTGTTTTACTCCAGCACATGAGTTAAAATTGTATTTAGAATGTGCAGACATAGAGAGTCTGGTAATTTGGTAACATTAGAATGTCAGAATAATTGTACTCCAGTTATTAATAATAAAGTGTGAGGGCAACACAAAATAAGGGAGAAAAAGCAATACTGAGAGATATTTTTAAGAAGACTTTTTGTAGATGGATGCTAAAACGTTATCTTAGCCATATCTTATTAAACTACTATAGGAACAAACATATTTCAGGCTGAAAGAGAAAGTCGGGGCTTTTTCTTCATTATGATAAGATAAGCAGTCATTCCTGTTATATTTCTTTGAAGTCTGCCTAAAGAGCAAAGTCTCTGTGGACTAGTCTGTGCAATCACAAACACCAAAGCAGGTATATGGCTGTCGACATGAAGCCTCACATTCTCTATCACTGATCACTGCTTGTTAACAAAAAAAATGCTTATCAACTGAGGTGGAAAAATGCATGTCACCTACAGCAGATTTATTGGAAATCTAAAATAATTTCCCTTTTTATGATTTTGTGACATGTGGGAAACCTGAAAAACATGACCTTTATCACTGATTTACCAGCTTTCTTACCAGTCTTTTCCATCACTTTTTCTTCTGTCTCTCTTCTTGTCAGACTTTGTCTGCTTTCCACCCAGAAGCGATGAGATCTTTTGCTCCCTCTTGTCGTCTTTTCCTTTCGGTGGATCAACTTTTTTGCTGGGAGCAGGAAGCTTACTCTTACGAAAGCCGAACCAACTTGCTAAGCTTGATCCAGATTTTTGCTTCACCTCACTGGTTCGCTCTTGTTCCTGAGACTTGTGCAAGTTCTCCTCTATGCCGAGCATCACTTTCTCTTCAATTGTAGTTATGGTGCTTTGTCTCTCAGGCTCTTCAGAAACTGGTTCCCCAAAGGCGGTCGAAAACTGTTGCTCTATCTGAAGTCGCCTAGCCTGCTCACGCTGGAGTTTGAGACTTTGGAGTCTTTCACTGGAGGACCCCAGATGTAAAGGAACTGCTAGTCCCTCTTCGATCAAAAAGTTGTTTAAGAGGGATCGATTCATTGGACAGTGGTAGCTACTGGAGCAGCTCATACTTCCTGGGAGGACATCACCAAGAGAGTTCAAGGAGCTCCCTGAGTGTGTTTTGATCTGTGTGCGGACCTTTCCAGATCTGTTGAAGCTTGGTCTGTCCATATAGCGTGCACCAAAGCTCTGACTACGAGCTTTGGCCCCATTCATGCCCAGTACTGGTTTAAGAGGAGGTCTAGTAGAAACAGATACAGACCGTTTGAACAGCCAGCCTTCCTCGTCAAATCCCCAGTCTAGCATTACACCGCTGTCTGACACAACAGGTTGGACAGAAGGTTCAGAATCTAGCGAGTTGCAACGGGTCTCAAACTTTCTGCGGGTGTTATCATGAGTGCTGGATTCATGTATTGTCTGGGGGTCACAAGTGAAAGTCTGAAAAGTCTGGATGCTTTTTCCAGAAGGGTTTGTATCGTCCTTGTTTTGCCTTCCGAAAATGAGGAAGGTATTTGCTTCTTGTCCAGCGATTGCCTCATGAGATCTGGCATTTACAGGAAGAGTCCTTTTTACGGCTCTTGAAGAGGAAGTCTGTGGATGGTAGTATGCATTAGAATATGCTGGTGGTAAGACTTCCGAGAGTTTTGGCTCACTGACACTCTGTTGGGATCTTTGCAAGACGCTCTGATTTGGCAATACAGAGGGAACGCCATTTTCAATATAACTCATGGTAGCTCTGTCTGTAGATAACCGGACAGATTCTGAAGCTGATTGTGATTCTTGAACTACAACAGGAGGTATCATAGATGAATGGGTGTGGTACATTCTACCTTCAGCACCCATTTGTGGAGCTGCATGTTGACCATCTAGTATTGCACTGGATTGTTGAGGTTGTACGACTGAAGAAACCTGATGCATATGCAACTTGGTTGGGCCAGTCATTGAACTTTGAGCCTGCCCTGGAGATGTTTGATCTTTGGGAAAGCTGTCACTACTAGGTCTGAGAAGAAGAGAAGTAGTTCGACCTGGGGGTCGCGGCGGGGATAGGGATCTGAGTTCTGAGTCACAGTCATGGTCCTGACGTCGTTGTTTTCGTGGAGAGCATGGTAAGTTGTCATAGATACCATCTTCTGAAGAGTCATTGCTTGACTGAAGTCTGGCTATTTGTGATTTTGTGGGACTCTTTAAGCCATCACTGACCCCTGTAGACTTAAATATCTTTGAATGTTTCACGGGAGAAACAAGAGGTGAGCACTTTTGCATCTTCTCAAGAGACTTGGAACTTGATGATGCTGAATTATCCTCATCTTTCTCAGTTTTAGATAATGTGCTCTTGGTTGAACCATGGGCTTTATTTAAATTTGTCCTTTTGCTAGGGGCACTGCTCCCTGTAGGGTTAGGGTTAGGGTTAGGGCTGGGCTGTCCTTTGGGCCTTTGACCCTTGATAAGCTTTTGATGTAGAGGAGAATGTGTGTGCTTTTGTTGCTCTGGTCCTCCATCTGCACTCTTGCTCCGCAAAATAAAAGCCTTTCTTGCTGAGTCACAGAGTTGAGGTTTTGGTTTCCTCTGAGGAGATTCTGAGGCGGAATAGTCCTGGTGGTCACCGCCAGCTTGACTTATTGGGTCTCTGCGATGAGGAACTTCCATTGAGGAGCTGCGCTGCCTGGCTTCATTCATGCAGCACAGAGCTCTTGGTACAGTATGTTGAACTGATGAGCCAACATCACCTGTTCCCACTTCCACTTGTTTGGAGGACGCTCTTCCCTGTTGTCCTTTGACATAATCAAGCCTGGATTTACGGTCAGTGGATCTTTCCTGGTTATTGTTTCTGTCACTCAACTTTACGCCTTTATGTTTTTCTAGTGAATCTATCTTCATTTCCTCCAGATGTGTAAGGCTATCAGTTGGGCTCACACCAGGTTTAACTGTGGGTCCCTCCAGAAATAAGAAGTTGTCTGTGACAGGTGAAGGAAACAGACCAGAGTTCCCTGAAAGTTTCACAGGATCTACTTCAAATTCCTGAGTGACCTCCAACTTGTCCAAGCTTAGAAGTTCTTTTGCTGGCAGGTCACTGGATTTGCTGTTTGGTACTTTAGGCAATTCGTCATCCGCATCATCAGAGTCTACAATGGAAATCCTTGTTTCTGCCTTGAAAGGTTTACTTGTAGGGGCAACTTGCTTGGCTGTAGTCCCTCGCTGGGCAAACTTGACACCAAGTGAGTATATACCCTCGTTTGAGGTCATACAGTCTTTGCAGTGTGGTACAGATGGAAGGGAGGAAGTCCCCTTGGAGTTGGACATTTGAAGACGTTTCAGGCCTTTCAAAATGTGACCTTCCTTCCATCCCAGGTCTGTGTGCTCCAGAGCAGCTGAGTGATTGCTGGATACTGAACCAGTACTCATCCTTTTGTCTCGGCTTGAGGCACACTATGTATTAAAAGAGATATTTGCAATTACTGAAATAGCATTCATAATTGGCTTTTGCAAATGCCATTTTTTTCAAACAAAAAAGATGGATGTAAGGTGAATGATACCAACCTGCTTTGAGTAGCCACGTCCCTCTGCCCAAGTGTGGGAGCCACTGGAATATTCACTGCAAGCGCTGGAGAGTGAAAGCTCACTGCCACTGCCGCTGCCACTGCTGCGTGGGCACGTTAGACTCAGCAGGCTGGGCCACCTTCCTGCGGGAATTCCTGCTTTTCCATTCCTTTGGACCTCCTGAAAAAGAAGATATCTTGCAGTTAATTTAAAGGTAGTATTTTTCTAGTGGGTGTGCTAGAAAACAACCAAATTTCCCCCTTGTGGGACAATTAAAGGATTATTCTATTCTTTTCTTCTATTCTAGAATATTTTCTGATGTGTGCTGCTATTTTTTTTACTTTTCTTTACCTATCATTTCACCATTGTAAATAAGAATGTGCTCATAATGACTTAAAGTTCATTGAAATGAAGTTCACACTGGCACACTTCACCATTGTGTGGTGCAAACTGGTATTACACAAACGTGCAGCTTGGTCATACTTTTTCAACACAAAGCATACTAGATGTATGGCATATAAAGCCATAGGGATGGTTTCTTCAAATTCCGCTGATAGGTTGATTTTAAAGGGTTAAAGCACAGTGATTTACAATAAGCACCTTAAAAACACAATAAAGAGACAACTGCTCCGGTGAAAAATTCATCGTACATGTGGGGTATGGCTGAATGGTGAAAGCACAAATGGAGGGCCTTTAGTGCACCTCATTTACAGGACAGATCAGTTTGGCCAAAACTGAAGAAAAAAGTCAAACTAAGGAAAGTACTCCAACTGTTAAAAGTATACACACTGTCGTTGTTGGGCGTCTGGTAGTACAGGCACTGTTGCTTCCTCACCACCATTACCTGATACAAAAGACTGTCAACAAAAGCTGCAACTCCCGCCAGTATAGACAGTAGTTACTCCCAATTCAGTTTTTCAAAAGAGACTTGTAATAAGTCAACAATGGAAAACATATACTGTCATAATAAAATAATTGCAAACATCATAAAATTAACCCACAAATATCACCCAAATTCCCCCTTTTTTCATACCACAGCTGGCACATTGCCCGGGAAACCTGAAAAAAGTTCTAAAAGGGACCTGGAATGGTTTGCCAGTTCCTGGGTTCAGCACTGGGGTGGTCCCTCATGCACTATATGGACAAAACATTGATTCCTATATGAAGTATGAATGCTGTAGGGTTGTTGTTCTGGGGTTGACCTGTCAAACATCTTTGAGATGAGCGAAAATTCCCACAGCCACACTCCAAAAACTTGTAGAAAGCTTTTCTAAAAAAGTGAGCCTCCTGTCCTGTCTTGCTTTATTGTGAGGTTCATGTGGGCGATCGTGGCTCAAGAGTTGGCAGTTCGCCTTGTAACCGGAAGGTTGCCGGTTCGAGCCCTGGCTTGGACAGTCTCTGTCGTTGTGTCCTTGGGCAAGACACTTCACCCGTTGCCTACTGGTAGTGGTCAGAGGGCCCGGTGGCGCCAGTGTCCGGCAGCCTCGCCTCTGTCAGTGCGCCCCAGGGTGGCTGTGGCTACAATGTAGCTTGCCATCACCAGTGTGTGAATGTGTGTGTGAATGGGTGGATGACTGGATATGTAAAGCGCTTTGGGGTCCTTAGGGACTAGCGCTATATAAATACAGGCCATTTACCATTTCTAGCACTCTGACTGGAACTGGTTCATTTGGGCTCAGAGAGCTCAAATGACAGACAAAGACATCGATTGTAAAATGCATCCAAGTTCAGAGAGTTGGAGTCCAATCGTGGTATGGAAGACTAGCTGGTGATGCAGCTGGTCAGTTATCCATATATTCAATTCATTTGCAGCTAAAACTTTTGCAGTGGGGCTCCTGATGTTAACTTCCTAACAGCTATCAGTTCACCTGTGATCCATCTACAGTTAGAGGTTTGGGTTCAGATAACAGCCATGGAATTTTTGCTGTTTAAAAGCTTACCTTTTGGATGTTTTAAAGGAAAACTGTATGTAACGGGAATGACAGACCCAACCACATACTGCACTTTAACACCCTTTATTAATTCCAGGTTGTCGTATTTACAACTCAGGGCTGTAGCTTTTCACCTGCGATCCACTATACAACAACAACACTCCTTAGGTCCCGGCACGTTTAATAGGGGAGGCATGATGAGCTAATTGACAAACCACGCCTCGCCACATTGTAATGTGGAAATGAAAGTGTAAGCATTCATTTGAAAGGTAAGATCTTCTAAAAACTTTCAGTTTGATTAAACTTAAACTCAACCCCGAACCCAACCCTCAGCAGGTCACCAACTGCTGGATGGTATAAGCTCATCCTCTGATTCACACTGGTGAACACAGTACGTGTTCATCCACCTAATTCGTGACATTATGTGTTTCTTGGACGGCCGTTGGCTCTCCATTTGTCTCCGTCACAGTCCTTAAAATAATCAATATGCTGGATACACCGCTGTCTCTTTCCATCCAAAGGCTAATTGAGGAATGGGATGACATTTTCTACTCCTGCGGTCAGATGGCTCCTGTTTAAAAACGCTGAGTGTTTTCATCTTTCTGTGGTCTCACAGGTGCACCATGATCTCTGTGAGAGCTGCTGAATGAGACATTTTAAAACAATGCCTCTATTCTGACACAAAGGGAGGCTATTAACTGTGCCAAGAGCCTCTTGGTGTCTCTGCTGTTCATTTATATTTCAGCTGCATAAAGACTAATGACTGTTAGATGAAGATGATGCCCCTGTGAGGGCTAAAAAGCTAGAAAATGAACCAAAATCAACATTCACATTATTCCATTGACTCAAACGATGAGTCCTTTGGTGATATTTCTGAAAGCAAGTTTTGTGCCTGTGCCAGATGGGCCCGCGTGATGAATGTTTGTCGCAAGGACAAAAATGCAATCTTGTAGAAAGAAAATTTCACAGAGCATTTTCCCTAAAAAGACTCCAGCTAATGCAAAATGCTTGTATTAAAGGTTAAGAGAGATAGACATGGTTTGAAGGGAAGTTTTGGGCTTTAATAGGCTTTAATACAAACTGAATATTTTATCACGCAATTTATTTTGGAGTACAATCCCAACTCCAAAACTTTTGAATGATTGGTTTACTGATTCAGAGTGTAGTGTTTTCCATATTTAAAGATACTGATGGATGTCCAGTCTGTCCTCTTTCCTGCGGAATCAGTTAATTACGTTTGTCAAACTGCTGCAGCTTTCTGCATCTGGTTTATGTCTGCTGTGTTTTGCACTTTTTTGATGTTATTTTTACTCGCTGTTAGATTCGGGTATGACAAGGTTAGGTTCAAGAAAACGAATGTTGCAAGAACTGGCCGGATTAAGGCCTCACTGAGATGCGTCCGCCACTTTGCAGAATTAAACGTATTTTTGGCCTGTCTGGAAAGTTTCCCACTTCATAATATTAATAATAATGTATACGTTATTGTTCCCTGTGGGGAAATTCCTGTCTGCATTTACAACATTCACTCACCTACTGAGCTATCCCTGCCCTTCATAACAACTCTGAGGAAGCAGTACATCTACAGTTTCCCTAGCCCCTTACCCTAACCATTAAAAATGAATGCCTAACCCTAACCCTTACCTTAATACCTAACCATAACCTAATTGTAACCCTGACACTAAAACCACATTTTGAGCCTCAAAAAGGGCTTCAAACTTGTGAGGACCAATTGTATGAACCAGATCTCCATTCAACCTCATGAGGTGGGCTTTGTAGGTCTTTAAAAAGGGGCTGTCTAACAAGACTTGTGTATCCCGTTTTTATGTCCTATAAGTGCTCTCTTTAGTTAAAACGTCCTGTGTTTTCTTGTTTTTCTTCGCGTCTATTCTAGTTTCTTGTTTGTCCGAGTTACCTTCCATGTGTCTGTCCTTTTTTCCTGTTTTTGGACTTCACCTCTCGTCCGTGCTGTATGACCTTGCCCTGGATTAAAGGTCTGAACTTTGAACTTTTAGTCTTCCTAATGCATTTTGAATTTTGTTCCTCTTCTTCTGAGTCATTACTACCAAAGACTGACATTATCTTCAGTCACATTCTTTCAATCACTACCCAGAGCATCAGGGCCCCCTGAGCTAAGGTGGTCAGGCTTCACCACAAGCACAGCCTCCTGTAGGCCCACCACCCATAGGAGGAACCATGGGTTTAGTGTCAAAGATTATGGAATTATGCATTCTTTGCTTTGGCTCGCCACAAAGTTCATGAGTTATAAACGTATTATGACAGTTAAGCAGGTTAAAATATGGACTCTGGATACCAGAGTTAACCAGAGGGGTTTTTTTGCCTTTCACTGTAAATAAACTACGTAGATAAGATGATATCATCTACTATGGAAGACCACAGTTTGACTTTTAAATTTCATGGCTGGCGGGTTCACTTATTTGTGAAGGATCTTGTGTGGAAGTCTGTTACAAAGCCCGGCTGGCACTCGAATTGCTGGCATACTGCAAATGCCGTTTCCAGTCAGAAGGCCCAAAGGTGTCAAGTGCTGTGACCCTATTTAAAACGGCATCGATCGTTTAGAGAGCCGCCGAGGCCAGCTTCCTCTCGAAGTCATTAGTGTCATCTGTTAGCAATAATTAATGTGAATAGGAAATAATTGCATGGGGGATCTGGGGACCAATGTGATTTGGTCTTTTCATTGATATTCACCTATTATTTGATTATCCGAGCTATAGCCTTTACTTTGAGAACAGTGTGGGAGAAAGCCACATTTGACCGCGTGCAGATTAATCTGGAAACTAATTACAGTCAGTATGTCGAGGGCTATCTGAGATTTGACACAAGTGATGCAGTTTAACAAAACCCTCAATCAGAGCGGCGCTCAGCTTCAAGTCAAGGGCAAACTCGAGGGCTGTGGAAATGGGTTTTCCACTTCATGTTTTCAGATGGTTTTCCCACTCTGACAAAGAAGAAGGCGACTTCCTTTTGACCACGACAGAACCGACGCTGCAAACAAATACTTGCCATGTTAAAAAGTTCATAAAAGAGGACAGAACGTATTAGTTCTCTGGATATGTCTTTATAGAGTCTCAGAAAATCCATTATTTTAGTTTTGTTTTCTTTTAAACTGAAGCACACTTTCTTATAAATAATTTTTCTAAACGATTGATGGTGAAAAGCCTGAGCTGTTAACATTTGGAGTTTTTGTCCTAACGATTCAAACAACTTATCCAATGTGTTTAATAAATACAC